CCAGCCCCGGATGGAGCAAGTGTAGTTGGTAGGGGGGGGGGTGGCTAGTAGTAGTAGTAGTAGTAGTAGTAGTAGTAATAGTAGTAGTAGAAATGGTAGTAATGGTAGTGGCTGTGGCAGTGGCATATAGCAACCGGATGGCAGTAGTTGCCTTTAACACCTCCAAGCATAGCAACGAGATGGCCGCAACTGCCTCTAAACAAAGCAAGCAGATGGCCTTAACTGCTGATTTAACAGCAACCAGATTGCCGTAGCTTTGGCCAGCGATTGAGGCGGTTTACGAAAATTAGGATAGCATTGCTGATCTTGCCGCGTGTGGCTCCCCTCTCCACATCTTTCTGTCGCTTGCTCTGTTTCGTAGCTTCTTCGTTTTGTTTTTGTAGTTTTTTTCGTCTCTCTGACTCTGAATTTCTCTGAGGATGGGTATAGGCGTAAGGTGCCTGTCGCAGAGACTAGACCCATGGAGACTGATTCGTTCGGAGTTTAACCCTTTGCCACTTTGAGCATCTTCCCATGCAGCACCAGGTTTTGGGGTTTCGACGCCTAGATGCCACCATTTTAGCGGTCATGTGTTTTTGCCACGAGTTTGAAGCAGACTCTTGTAAGACAGGAAAGGTGAGTCCTGTACGTCAGACGATCTGTGCAACTCCTCGTTTGTTGGAGCAGCATAGCATTGTGATGAGCGACAGGTTGGGCGGTTGCAGAGCGGGAGGACTGCAGTAGCCAGCAAGCAGGTGAGTTCTTCTTAAACTGTGGTTGTGGCTGCAGGATGATGAGAGGTCAGGTGTGGCCGAGGCCCTTCACGTCTCAGCCGCCTGAGGCTGCAAGCCGAAAGTGCCCTTTCTCCTTGTGGCGCAGGATGTTCCGATCTTCCTGGAGCCATCAGTCGAGGAACGGATGAGCCTCAATCTAGGAATCTAGGGATGCTCTCCACACCAAACTCCGGGCAGGACGAAGTCGCTGTACCGAAAGCTCTTCTCGGGAAGGCACTTCGCGTTGAGATGTCTGACAGAATTTGCTCGAAGCATCATTGCCGGGTTGTGTGGGTGGTCGGCATCAGTATGATGAGGTCATCGGCAAGCAAGCGGCTACAATCATCGAAATCCGAGAGAAGTGCAACTCTTAAGCTGTTTGCAGCCGTAGAGAGTGCCCCAGCAGCAGCTGTGCTGAGGAGCGGGGCATTTAAAGTGGATGCCAGGGATCAGACCTCCGATCCTTGCATGGCGCGGCTTGAGTGCCTAAAGCCTCAGAACTCCATTCAGATGATCGACGGCTTTGTGGCAGGTGAAAGTCGCAGGCACTGCGGAGGCAGTCAAGAAGGACTGGACCTGGAGTGACAGTTTTTGGACTCGCGTTGTGTTTTGGTCTGAAGGCGAAAGACCTCATCCTTGAGCTTATTGATCAAACAAAGCCGCATGCCAAGAGTTTGTTATCGACTCGGCTCTTGGGACATGCGCTTACGCAATGCTCCTAGGCAGAAACATTTGAGCTCGCACTATGTGGAGATTCCACGCTCAAAGCCCGTGCCTATGAGTGCAACCGTCTCTGAAATGTTAAAGGGCAGCTCACACCGAGGATAGGTATGGTGATAGGATTGAAAGGGGCATGGTCCTCAGATTTTGTTGGCACCGCACGCAGGGCATCTGTTGAGCATTTGGACCGACAAAGGCACAAGTAAACGAAGTCCAAGCGCAGACTCAAACCAAAATCGACGTCGACTTCGAGACAGATCCATGCAAGTGTTACATCAAGGTCGGTACTGCTCATGCACCAGTACGCGACAAGTAAGAGTGAAGAGAAGCTGCTTTTGACAGGGGGAGGCAGACAACGTGGACCGTGCGGGACTTTAGGGGATGTGGCGCATACCTGCAAGCTTAACTGTGCCGCGCGTGACAGAATGACAAGAGTATGGCTTAGGTGCCAAGAAAGTCTTGCTTACGATAGCTATGCAGTTGGAGGCTGCCTCATTCCACCGAATGCCAGCCTCCACGCATGACTTTTGCCAGGATGAGGCATCCGAGTATCTGGACCTGCCGAAGACAGTGTCTGGAGCCCTAATCGGAGCTCAAGGCGCCTCGGGTTTAGAAACTTGCCATGGTTCCTGCGACCATTAGCAGGCATGCTGAAAGATCGCACCTCTGTAATGTTCGACTGGTGTTCAGGATCCCGCATCCGGCAATTTCAAGAGACCAGTGGCGCGAGACCCTCAGTTTTGGAGCACTTGCCAAACCTCCATACCTCCCTTTGCTTGATGCCAGGCTCGCATCGACATTGACAAGTCCGGAAATCGCTGCAAGGTTCGATTGACCGGCAGCAAGGACTTGGCAACTGCACGCGCAGCACCGCGTGCAAGCGACAAAGCGGAAGATCCATCCCTGCATTTTTCAAGGAGGCAGTGTCCATCGCCAAGTCGCTCATACAGGCCTGTCTGTTGCAAGTACGAGCGGCTGGGCCATGCAGCTGTTGTAGAGGCAGAGCTGGACAAAAACATGGTCCCAACGAAGACACCTGGAAGCATGCTGGTTGCTTACACTGCTGATGAGCAAAGAAGTTTTAAGCAGATTCGGCTATTGCAGTTGAAGCTCCCAGGGCCAGCAGCGGTGCAGGGGTGTCCCACGGACCTATTGCAGTGCCAGCGTGCCTGCCTTGGCATCCTGTCTGATGCGAAGAGCGTAGCACACGCCAGCTCCCAGGCATCAACCTAGCAGTTTCCCAGCCACGCTGTCAGAGTCTATTGCAAGAGTCGGCTTCTCAGAAAGCTCTGGGCTTGTGACAAAGTTCGGATGCTTGCCAAGGAGAATCTGTCTGTTGCCAGTCTCTGCTCAGGCAAGAGCCGCAGCAGAAGCTGTGAAGCATGGGTGCAGATCTCAAAACTCTGCGCTGTTGAGTCGTCGTGACGGTAGAGGGTCATCGTAAGGCTGATTCCTTCCGGGCCTCCCGAAGGGTCCCCAGTGAATCCACCGCCGCCAGCTCCGTTGCCGGCGGGGAGCTCGGTGCAAGGATCTTGAGCATGCCGCGAGGACTGGACACCGGGTTGTGAATGTGGAGTCACGATTGCGCAGCCCTATGAAGCAACAGCATGGAGGTAACAAAGTGCCTGGTGCATGTTTGATAAGTGGTCAGCAGCATCCTGCCGCGCCGTGGTGGCGCTCAGTTAAAACAACAGGCACTTCTTGCAAGCACAAATCGGAAGATATTTATTTACCTTCATTTTAAGAAGGGAGATGTCTGCTAAGGCAACCTGTGCATGTGTTACCATGCTTCCTTGAATCTCCTGTCTGGCTGAGGTACCGCCGCCTCCCAGGCCGCCAGGTGCGTTTGTCGGGTGCAGATGTCGGATTGGCAGTGCTCTTGTTGGATTCGGCCGGGTGTTGCAGGTGCGCAAAAGGGTGGTCACTGGGGCGGAGGTTCGGCCTGAAGAGTCAAAGGAAAGTCAGCGGTCTGATGCCTGGAAGGAGGTCAGTGGGGCGGCGGTAGCTGGTGAGCCGTTGGTCACTCGGGCAACGTTGTACCGTAGAGCACTTGCTGAATCACCATCGAACAAGCCAGGCGGCAACCCTGAGTTTGCTATTTTCTTGTGACTTCTGGTGGTTCGCGCTGACACTGTCGGCGATGAGCTGTTTCTGCAAAGTATGTCCGTTCTCAGCCTGTTTATGCATCTGTCATGTACGTGTTTCGGATACGACGCGGATGCTGCTCATGTGAGCTGAAAACTAGGGCGTCGGGACGGTCTCATTTGCGACTGTCGCGCAGAGGAAATGTGAGCTGGGAGGGTTGGCCGACTGCAGCTCTGCTCCTTTGTCCGAGCCAAAATCAGCCCGACCGCCGCAGCTGGCTCTTTCGATGCCAGCCGTGCCAGCTGCTCTGGCCTTTCCAGAAGCGAGGCAGTGTCGGGCCCTGCTGTGCAATCTCCGCTCATCCTTTGAAGCTGTCGCCAGGAAAAGGATGCAGCCATGATGGCACTCCGCGTGATCATTGTAGCAGTGCTGTCAGCCATGTACCCGGTCTCCTCAACTCAATCCACCTTGTCATCCTTTGACAGATCAGGTGCCAACCCTAGGCACTGTTCTTGCACGGCTCCTGCCTCGGTCGTTCGCCGTGCGTGTCGCTGTAGAAGCGCTTGCGAGAACTCCGAGGGCCAAGCTGCGGCAAGGATCTAAGTCTTGGCAGGACTGCATCGATCGGCAGCTGAATGCAGCACATCGCAAGTCTCGCCAGGATTTCTCTCCCTGCAGCTGTTCGGAATGCCTTGGAGAACACAAAAATGATGGTGCCTGACTGGATTACCGACTAGGAAAGGGCACGGTTTCTTTTGCGCAGGTGGAGATGGCAGCGTTGGCTTCCAGTGCTTCCCGAAAACTTCTGGCAAGGGTCCTTCCCACCATCCTTCGGTCGCACCACCTGCAACTTGGCTGAGGCTTGGCAGACTGCCGCCAGACGGAGCCGGTTGCCACTCGTGTGGTGCTGTTCTCGGCATGTCTCTGGCATCTTCGAGAGCCCTGCAAAACTCATCCTGCCGACATGCCATGTTGTTGCCTAAACAAATTACATTGCTTTTCAAGGGCAGCTAGTTTACGAGGCTTTGGTGCGGCCTAAGGGAGAACCTGAAGCGCTGTAAGTTTTTGTTTCAAGCGGGCTGCATGCTTGAGCATTTTGGTATGATGCTGCCGATTCGTCAGCATCGGACCCCTATAGACCCTGGATCCTCTCTATCAGATCATTGAGGCTGGGATCCATACATGCTACATCATTCCTTCGGCAGGATCACCAATTTCCTCCCCTCAACCCTCCCACCCCCCCTCCTCCACCTGTCTCCCTCCACCCCACACCGAGGGCTGGAGGGGTTTTAGAGGAGGGAGGAGGAGGGGGAGGGGTGAGGGGTGGAGCATGGAACGTGAAGGGGTGACAGGGAGGGGTGGAGGTGGGTGGAGGGGTGCAGGAGGGTCGAGGAGGAGAGCTTCTTTGTGGTTCAGGGGCTGCTGAAAGCACATGAAGACACAACGTGAATCTCCAGGTGCAAAGTGCTGACGTCGTCAGCTACGACCGCTTCTGCCTGTATACCTGCAAGCAGAAAGCTGAGTCAAGATCATGATGGCATTTAGCCCCAGATGTGTGGCCGGCGAGGCCTCTCTTGACAGATGAGATCAAGCCAGTCGTAGACTGCGCTCATCTCAACGAGAAAGAAATAACGCGCGCCTGACAACTTAATGAATGCCCGCCCGTCACAGTACAGTGTCGACTCCTTCACGTATTCTTCGCCTCTTGCCAGGGACTTGGCCCAGAGCCCTTCTTCCAACGGAAGGGAAATTGTGTACGAGGCACGAGGTGTGGGGTGTGGGATCTCAAGGGGGAGTTTGCAAATGTTTGCAAGCTACACGAACGAGGCGCATCCCCTTGCGCGCGTGGGGCCCATCTCCCAGGTTCTCGCACAGCCCGAGGTGGGACAGCAAACCACACATGGAAGACTTCTTGTGCAGATCACCCGTCCTAGCCATCAAGTGATGTTTAGTCTAGGTTTGCTTTTGTTCGGATGCAGTGCTGGGTTGTGTCTGCCAGGCATCCATGTTGGACACTGCTTCGATGGTTGACAGGCAGCGTGCTAGCCGTGCACGTCGACAGCTGATGCAGTTCGAATCTGTGTCGCAGGTCCAGCGATCCGGTGAGTGCAATCCGAGCAACCTTCACATCCTTGAGGCCCGGAAGGCAACCGCACTAAAAGGAGCTCTCGTGTAGGGAGATCCTCGAGGAAAGAAGAGACCGCAGCGCCAGGCTGGTGCCTGGAACCCGCTGTGACCAGCACAACTCGCCTGGCAATGCCAGGTGTCAGTCCCTACACTCTTCCAGATGCTGCAAAGGCAGACCAGCTGGCTTTGTGCATGTGTTTAGCCGGCCTAGTCCGAGCAGACCGTGCAGGCCCCTCCGCTTTGTGTCTGCCACTGTGGCAACAAGGTGAATCGCGGACCTGGCCTGGCTTGGTAAAGCATGGTGCCTCAAGTCGGAGCAGTATCATGGGTTTGAGGCATGCGCCAGACGGAAAGTGATGGCATCATATACCCGAAGCCCAAGCAGGCACGGGGTGATTTCTGATGTCCTAGGTCCCAGCTGTTGGTGTCCGGACGATAGGTACGATTGCCTCTCGCCGTCACTTCTGCCGGCAACCCCGCTGCGCAGCCAGAACCTCCACAGCCTCCCATGCCACCGTCCGCGCCTCATCTTGCCCCCACACAGGACTCGTCCTGTTTCTGGGTGCAGCGTTGCCCACGAGCCTGATAGAGGCCACGAGCCCCAATGCACATGCGGACGATCCTGCTTTGCAATGCGAAAGGATGGAGATGCATACATAAACCAACTAGTGCATGAAGACAAGGACACCAATGCTGTGACTCGGTACAAGCCCAAGCCTTCTTGCTGTTTCGCTTCGTACGACCCCACGTAAGATGTCGGAGTCCCGGATGGTGTTACGTATTTTGTGCAGCACACCGCGAAGTTGTAGGCCGTATCCTCACATAGAAGTCTCACGTGGTTGAAACATCCAGGACACGCATGCGAAAGCTTCTCATGGCAAGCTGCATGAAATCTTATCCGCAGACACATCCTTGGTGCACTTGCAAAAAACGCCCGCGTTCTCTGTGCATTGATGCCAGCTGAGCTTTCTCTGTAGAGTCGGTTCTTGACAGCATGACATGCTCAGCAGGTCCGAAGATCGATCCTCGGTTGTGGGTTCATGCTCTCTGCAGACAACTCTGGCCAACAGCATCTGACCTCTAGTCTCCACGATCCCAATGCCATCTCTGGATAGTCCTGTGACAAACATAATCAAGCAAAGAAGCTCGGAGCATCTCCACGAAGGCCAGCACCACAGTTCACCAGACGCAACTTCTCGTTTGCACCCGGTAGCAGCTTTCCCAGTCCTTTTCTGCTGCCCTTGTCCCGTGAGGCCAGTTGGTTCTGCCCAGGTGTTAAGCTTTTTCCCTCGCAAGTCGACGCGCACGCCGGCGCCCCACACGCCTTGCTGGTTCACACCACAAAAGGAAGGTCAAGCAGACAGCTGAGAGCAGCAGGCCGACTTGAGCCGTAGCGACGCGAGTCGGCATTTCTCATTCTCATTCTGAGTTTTGCTTCTGAGATAGGCTGATTCTTTAATGTGTAGGATAGAACAAGAATGGTGCACGTCATCCGCCGTTTCGAAATCATGCGGTTGTTTCCTCTGTGTTCGGATGCCGGGTCGATGGCACCAACCCTGTCTTGCATGGATAAGCATGAGGCTGCAAGACTTCCATTGCATTGCTCGTCGCAAACAATTCTTGGACACCGGAAGATCACATGCGGGTCGAACTTCCAAAAACTACCGCAGTTGACCTCATCCCTTTCTGTGGAGGTGCACTTACTAAGGCTGGTCTCAATTCGGACCATCGGAGCCCGCCTGGTATCTGCACACACATCCTTGATACTCAGAGCAGAAGCACATGTGTTCCATGATGTGTCGATGGCTGTTTTGTCTCCCTAGTCTTCGGTATGTGGCACAAGAAGATGCTCAACAACGCCGAGCCGAAGAGCGTGCAGTTGGAATCCTCCGTTGTGCAGGAGCCATGGAGTCGCACCCGTTCGGGTCCCAAGTTCGGTCGGTACGGTGAACCGTGGAAGTCTGAACCGCGCAGTGTCTTTAAGACCAGACACCCGGGGACAAAAAAATGGAAAGTGTATGAGCCCTATCTTTCGGCTCTGTTTTCATATTTCGTATGCTCAATACCGTTAGAACTGTTTTCTGACGAGGCTTAGCTGGAACAGTCGTTGCGGTTCTGGTTCACCAAAGCTACACGGCTACACACCCATTGAGTAGAACAGCTCATCTGTTGATGGTTCCCAGGAGCCAACTGCGGCCATTATCAAGCAGGGTCATGGAGGCTGTTTAAATGTGTGTTCAATATTACTCGTCCGCTTCCGCCGCTTGCAAATATTGAACCTCGATATCTTCTCTTGACAGGGAGGCGTACATTGACGTTCAGGCATTCTGCATTCTGCAATCTGCTAGCGTTGCAATCAGCGAGCACAGCGCGCTAGCTCGGGGCAACAGTTTTCATGTTTGGGGGGTCGATTGCTTCCTGTTGGCCTGCGAGTTCAAGGGTGCTTACCGCTTCCGGTCGTGACCTTCTTCGCCTTCGCCTGAACTGAGGCATTCAAGGGTGTCCAGCAGCTTCCGGAAGGGTCGGTCACGCCTTTCACGTCCACCTGTAGCACGTTGGTGCAACTAGCACAAACGTTGCAAACATACTCGTAGTTCGGCTTTGTATCTTAGCTCATGAAAGGCTTCCGAGCTAAAACGAATAGCAGCGATGTTCGATGTTTATCTCGAAACAAACCCGTTTCAATCCCCCTGGGGCTGGGATCGCAGAGTTCTGTTTAGAGGTGCTTGGTGCAAGTGGCGGAGGGGTCGGCACCGAGGTTGTGTGTCAGCTGCTCCGACGCCAAAGCGAGCAGTGCCCATCAAATCCACGAGTGGCAGAGACAAGCTGTCTCGAAGTTAAGTAGCCCATGTTAGTTGCTTTCGTAGTCGTGTTGTTGTATCGCGGGCTTGATGCAGAAGCACTTTCTCCGTGTCGGCCAGCAATGGTGAGCGCGATGCTGATGCCGAACATGAAATGCAAAGCAGGACCGAACGGGTACAAACAAAGTGCTTCTGCATCATTGATAGATTCGCGTTGTTTTGCAATAAGTTTCGGCTACGTGATACATGGGAGCATCAAAACAGGCAGAATTCACAGCCTCGGTATGTGCATACCGAGGCTTTCGACATCAAACATGCAGGTGATGCCAAGCTTCCCCAAGCTCCGCCGAGGCCCCCTCCGGCAGAGTTGCCACCGCCTTCCATGCCTTTGGGCCTGTTTCCCGGCCAGGCGAGCTTTCTTAGTATCTCACGGCCTTGCAGCCTTGCCGAGTGAGCGTCCTGGCTGTTACAGGAGTTGCCACCAATTCCCGAGGCAGTGTGCAGAGCATTTGTGTTCGCTTCGCTGGGACCAGACGTTCTCGGGTGCATGTGCAGGCCCCGTTGGAGATCACAGCGCCGCTGCCACCAGCGGAGATAGGCAGGAGTTGTTGCTGCATTTTTTGAGCGGGTGTGGCGGGGCTGATCCATATGGCCTTACTCCAGGTCTGGCAGATGCAGCACCCTCAGTTATGCTGAGTCACTCTGCGCAAACGAGATTCTACCAACCCTGTCAAGGTGCCTGACAAGCAGAAGCCCGTCTCCTTCCTGCAGCAGGTCCAACCTAGAACCTTTTTGTTCTGTCAGCCGGAAAGATGCCGTGACAAATACAGTGACTTCCGGCAGAACTTGCTTGCGGCAGGCAGCTGCTCCGGTAGCCTGCAACTGCATCTGCTGAGGCCGCTAAATTCACCACAAGTGGCATGTGAGCATAATGCAGATGTGCAGATCTACCGGCATGTGGAGAGCCGTTCACATTGTTCTCTAGAGCCATCGAAGCACAGCGGAGTTGAGCAAGCTCTGGCAGCGTCGTTGTGATGCAGGCCTTGCAGACTCCAAGAGCTGAGCTCGGAGCGCAAAACAGATTACCGAAGCGGGGTCGTCTCTGGTGAAGCTGCACCCGGTGTGAGCATCCGTGACCGGTCCGCTGGCTCTGAGAGGCTATGCTAGACTGCTCAGGTCTCCAAAACCAGCAAAGACGGCAGCTCGCAAGCCTCGACAAACCTACAGTGACTCTGACACAATGCTTCAGCTAGACCTTAACATTACAGACCCCAAGGCCCCAAGTGATCTGATAGAGACGATGAAGCCTTTGAGGGACGTGAGTATCTTTCCGGCACACATGCTGACTCGATGTAGGGCGCTTGTATCAAAGACAACAAGGACCGAAGCCCTGTGAGAATCCTGTCTGGTGAGGATTAAGGTAGATCGTGGCCCAGCTGCTGCAGGATCTTTGACCCCGTTTCCAGAGTATGCAAGGCAAGCGGCTGTCGTGTTTGCTGCTGATGAATCGCCCATAGGATGGTAGTACAGGTTGAAAACTTCGGGGGTCTTACGAGGCAACTAGCTTGAAAAATATGCTGCCTGCGAAGTCAAGTCATGTTAAATGTTTAGGGTTTGGGGTTAAGAGGGTCTGGGGTTCAGGTTTAGGGTTTCGATGACCATTGCACTGAGCTTCGAGGCTGGAGTGAATCACTGAAGTGTTTTGTGGTCACCGACACTGCAGCCTCGTGGTGCCATTCGGCTCATGCCGTCTTGTAAATATCACTCGTAGGACAACTTGAATCCAAGCTCTGGATTCTGTTCGGCTTCCCTGTGTGCGCCTGGATGAGAGCACGGCATCGCCCCAGCAACATTGAACAAACCTGAAGCCGAGAGGTTTGGTATGGTTTGGTATCCAGAGAATGCGGGGTCACTTGAGAGTCTGTCCAAGCTGCACAAACCGAAAACGCACGCCGAGACAGTCTTTAGGCATGGTTCAGTATCACACCACGTCACCAGGATTGTGGGAGAAAGTTCATCACGTCCCTGAAGTTAGAGTTGCACGCCAAGCAAGCCCCGAAATAGCGCTGTAGGCACTTCGCGATTCAAACAACGCACAGGGAAGTCATCCCACAACGAGAGCATAACTGGAAGAAGCTGCAAAGTGACAGGTGACGACATAGCTCCAGCTGGCAAGACACATGTCGTATCATGTCATTCCCATCTGAAGTTTGGCAAGGTGCTGGGACGCATTTACAAGGCTCATCGCGCATGTTTTCTCTTGCGGCGAGACATGCTTCCAGCTTGGCTTTGGAGCGAGGATGCCCCCACCTTGTGCCTCGTGGTTACTTCGATACTTACCTTGCTGATTCTGCCAAAGACCGAGACTTTCAGCGAAGTGGCGCGCAGTATGGCGCAGTGGTGCAGCGCTGAGGCTCATCATCCTCTTCAGCACCTGCATCTCGCGCCTCACGGGCACGCGCGGCGCCATTGCCCGCCCCCCGATCCGGGCCGGCGACTTCACCGTGTGTGCCACGAGTGTCCCTCGTCTTTGGCTGAAGGCGGTGGACTTGGTCTTCCTGTGGCTCTTCGCCCGCCTCGTCGCGCGCGCCGCGAGCTCAGCTGTCATGAGGGGCCTCAGAGGTCCATAAGAGGCTGCCGTTGAGAGCTTGCGAGGCCTTGATGTTTCCCGGTTCCCTGAAGCTCTTCCAGCGGAGCACAGAAGCAAACTACAGGACGTGCAGAGAGCGGCGCTGTGGATGCAATGTGGGTCACGTGCATCTCGGAACAGCGCACACGACTCTCTGCAGGACAGAAATAGCACGCCACTACATCATAAATGTTCGCCAACTCTGGATGTTCCTCAGACATGTCTGCATCTTGGGAGCTGCAGCTCGGCATGCAGACTGCACCAGTCGGTGGTGAAAGGCAGCCCATTTGTCGGACCATGTTCGGGGTGTCACGCTGGACGGTTTGGCGTGGACCTCAAGACCTTCAGAGCCAACGTGTCGAGAATCATTGCGATCAGGAGAAGGCCTGTGCTGCCGTCAACAGTTTAGCCTGTTCGCTCCGAACACAAGAGCAGCACGAGGCAAGAAGGCCTTCTATGCCTGCTGGGCGAAGCTTTTGGGATTCGAACTTCTCTGCCCAAAGGTCAGGCTTACTGCTGAGCAGCGCGAGGCAAGTTTTTTTGTCGCACAAGCAGTGCTTTTTCATCCTTGCTTCCGATTTGCTTCTGACCTTCTGCGACTTCTGGGCTTGCAGCTTGTGCGCAAGGTGTTGGATTCGGCGGAGGACAGCTTGCTGAAGTTGTGATCCCGGGTTGGAGCTTCCAGCAGCTCCTGATGGGCGTGCTCTGAGCAGGATCTGGGACAGTGGCTGCACACTTTGCAGGCAGGGAAGACTCGAATCTGTGAATTGGCGCGTCTGCAAAGTGCAAGACTAAGATCCTCCATACTGCAATTGGCCCTTATCATCCCTGCTACTGACAGGTTTGTCACCCCGACTGGAATCGGTGAAATAGGATCATCATCGGGGCATCTCTGCGTTCATCAGCCCTCGCTTCTGGTTGGTGCTCTACAGGCGCCAGTCTAGCCCATCGCCGGACATGATCAAGATCCGTGTGTTCCGTCTGGCACAATGCATGAGAAGACTAATCATGGCTAATCCGCAAGCAGCCGGAAGGTCCTGGCACGCAGCAATCCCGCAAGTAACGGGACACAGCACAAGAGAAAAAGGGTCGGGCACGGCTTGGTCGCGCAGGAAACCGAGGCAGTGAACACAAGCACAAATCGGCAGAGAAGGGCAGTCTCAGGGGTTCGTGCAAACTTGAGCCGTCGAGCGGGGAGGTCGCAGGGTCGCGGAAGGCATTGATCCTACACAAGCTCTGCTCTGGCTCGAAGGCAAAACCCTTTTGCGTCACCATGCAGCTTAGAGCAACGCAGCACTGCTCAAAGCCAAAACTGAGCCGGAACAGGAAACAACGTCGTGTTGCTGTACCTTTGAAGTGAGTTTTGATTCGGGTGGCAACATGACAGTGCGCTTCAGTACTCTGCATGGTTTCAGAACAGCAGGCCAAACGATGTGCAGCCCCGTCACACATTCTATCTCATGTCAGGTGCAAAGCCTGCATCCGCGAGGCTGGTTGTGTTTCGGTTGAGCTGGGGGTGCTTTGTACTGAGCCGGCAGGCCAAGGTTCAGTCACTCTCCCCCTGGGCGAATGGCTAGCGTGGGCAAGGCTCCATGCTGCTGAATCTCTAATGTGCTGTGTTGCAAGTGTTTGTGCACACTGACACTAGAGCCTATGCCACAGTAGCACTGGATTTGCTGGCTTGTATTTCTCTCTGCCGTGGCAGTCAGGGCCGATCTTTGTAGTCTTGTTTATGTCGGCATGTCTTCGTTCGACGTGTGGGCACGTCGGGGTCGTGCAGCTGCCGAGACAGAAGCGCCGGTGACGTCCTGGAGAAGGCAAGAGCGGCCTGGTCGTGTCGGTATGTCTCCGAAGCGTACAGGCGCAATGTGATACACATGAAGCTCGTACCCCCTTGTAGCAGATTGACTCTGGTTTGGGGAGCCAGAGTCAGCGCTAACGGATGACGGGTGCCAAATTTGGCCGGGGCGGTTGCTACGCCATGGGGCGGCTGAAGGTGGGCACGCTGGACACTTAGCCGCCGACGGCCCAGAAGTGAACTCAAGACCTTTCTCTGACGTTGCTTCTTCGTTTGTGACGCCTTCTTCCAAGCCACGCTTGGGGCGCCGTCAAAGCGAAATCCGAAGAGTGGCCCGAGCCGCGGTGGCCCGTAGGCCGCTCGCAAGGGAGATGTCACCAAGAACGTGTTAATGGAGACTCCGGTCGAAGAGACGGTGTTTGATGATTTTGATGCCATGCGGCAGCAGGAGGGGTCGGAGGTGTGGTGAAATTTGTTGCTGCGCAGACTCGGCCAGCCGGTGGAGCTGTGTTCCGTCGCTGACGACGATACGCGCGGTACACTTGAAATAAGATCTGGGTTTTCCGACTCACGATGCTACACCCTTCCTCATTGGATTCGACTGGTCGGGTGCTGTGCATGTTCACGTTGCATGCAGCTTGTGCTTGCGTTGACTTTGGATGGGAGCTCTTGGCGCGGTGTGCAGAGGCAAGAAGCGTCAAGATCCCGCATGCTTGATCCCCAGCACTTGCAATAGAGCGATGAGAATTCATCCCTACATCCCTACGTCTTCAGGCCACAGGCAGAGTTCATAGGCAGTTGCGGCCTGAAGCTGCCGAGCTTGGTGCGATTTGGATTCCCTCTCATCCCTGCGCTTAGGATCGGAGCTTGACGCTCAGGGCACCTTGCCGTCCAAACTGGCACGTCTTGAAAGGCTGCTCTCCGTGATGGACAGTGGGGGGACGGGAGGAGAGCTCCGCCAGTGGAGCGTACCAGAGCCGCGTTCAGGAGGACCTAAAGACGCCCAAGTCGGGGATGCTCACTACGGCCATGCGGTTTCTGAAGGCCTGGCCGCTTCCGAGAGGATCCGAGAGGGTTCCCATGAACACCTCAAATAATGGTCAACTGCCGCAAGAACTGCAGCAGCGAAGTCTGGTGCGAGAGGTGCCGACCGTGGGGTCCTTGAACCAGCTGAGAGTGAGGAGCTGAGACCGCCACGGCTCGTAACCGCTCGTCAGCGTTCTCGTCAGATGATCGATTGTGTTGGCCTCCCGTTGCTGGACCGTTCACACGGGAAGCACACGCGGGCGCATCTTTAGCTGTGAGTCCGAGGCTGAGCTGCAGATCCATTATTCCGGCCAGCACTTTTGGGCCGCACCCTCGGTTGCTGGCGAATCGTCTGTTGTAATTCTCGTATGTGAACGGTCTTTTTGCTTCGCTGCTGACAGTGTTCTTGGTCGTGAAGGTATGCAGGGTACCGTTTGCTGGGCCAAACAAAGACCAAGCACCCCAAGCCCTAAAGCCTGAGAGTGCAGATGCTTGAATCAATGGAGATGTGTACTGAACCCGCAATCAGGTGGCACCCAGCCATCTACCCCGAAAGCAGGGTGCCTCTCTCTATTCAGCCCTTGCTCGAACGCCTGTTCTTGTTGGTTTGGTTTCGCCAGCTGGACCAGAAGCAGCCCACAAGTCTAATCCAGCTCGCACTCACAGTGCCGACACCAGCTCAGTGCAGTGATCCTCCGGTTGAGCAAACTGGGAATGGTCACACAGAGTCTGTAGTCATCCACATAACTCTGGCGACTGCGATGATTCCGATGTCTCTGACGCATCTGCCAGGTCAAGACAAAGGGCGGGCACCGTCTGGACGACTGGCACTCAGAGGTTTCCTGACACGTTCAGATTCATGATCAATCCTGGGCCCCAAGGCAATGTTCATACCTTGCCAACGTGGCCATCGGCTGCCTGAAGAGGTCGAGCGACATGAGACAAGACATGACATAGCCTTGCGAAGACGTGGGCAGGTGTCCAATGTCAGTGACCAGCTTCCTTTGAACGAGGCCCCAAACCCTGCACAGTTTGCTTTGCTGCTGTGGCTAGTACCATTCCTGAAGGGACACCTGAATCCTACGCTGATCTGGCTGAGACCTCAGACATGCTTGGAACCGACGCATGAAATAGCCAAACCCTGTGAGGTGCAATCCGAATGCCGCGTACTACGAGGCCATGGTGTACCAGGCCCGGCCCACTGGAAAAGGACTGCAGACGTGCGCGCTTTCTGCCTGAGCTCAGGCTGGGATTCTGAAGTTCTGGGCCAACCAGGGCCGAGAGCCAAGCCAGAAGGGTCCAGAAGGGAGGCAAAGCAGGGCCCATCGGAGGCCATCGGTCCGTCCGCCGAGGCTGCAACCTTTTCCTCTTCAACTACGCTGGCTATGGGTTCCTTCGATGGCATCTAGAATCAAAGCCTCCAAGCTGTGATCATCCGTGATCCCTGTGTGATGCTCCCCACAACTGAGACGCTCGTCGGGGCAACCTTCACCTTCCAGGGTAGCCGAGGACGCGATCTCGAGTTGAGTGCGAAGCAAAGCAATGCCCAAGCGTGAGGACGGGGAGGCTGTGGTGAACTTCCTGAAGAGCACCGAACCTAGGATTGCCTAGAAAAGTGAAGGTGCCCTTCTCTGGTCGTTGGCCATGGCTGGGGCGTTTGAGACGTCAGGTCGGGGAGTTGCAAAGCTGGGGATCTATGGGAGGCCGCCTGGCGATGCTCAGAAGTCTGGATAATAAACTTCCACTGGAGGAAGCATAGGACATAGGAAGCCGCCAAGTTTCGATGACAATGGTATGTCCTCTTCAGGTTTGGTGCAAGCGGTGGGAGGCTTTAACGAGAGGGCTTCGGCTTCGGTGTGGTCTCCTAGTCGCATAGTGTTGTTGCTTGCTTCTTCCTTCGTGCTGATCGGCCAACCGGTGAGGTGTTCTGCGCACTGTAAAAGAAACATCGCTTCGGAACAGTGTCGGTCCAAATTAGAAGTTGGGGTACAGGGCTTCAATCATTCAGGCTTGCAGTTCAGCTAATTTGGGCGTGCAGTCATGTTTGTTTTGTTTGTTACATTTAGAGTCTAGAGATGATTTTGTTTTTTTGGAGCTACGGCTTAGGCTAGGGCGTGGGGTTCAGGGTTTAATTTAAGGTTTGGGGTGCTGACCGCGTTGTATTTACGCATGTTTGATGAAGCCTAGAAGAGTTGAAGGCCTCAGGCGAGTAAAGTCTAGGGTTTGACGCTGTTGGCTGCAGGAATTTGAGGTTGAGGTGTCGGGTGACTCTTATCTCTTGCTGGGGAGATGATGTCAGGTTTCGGGCTCGGGGTTTGGGCTTCAAGAGGATGTAAGTCTCGAAACTTGAAAGTTCTTGGGTAACGGTCCCGTAACGTGGTCACGAGATACTTGACTCTGTTCTGAGCCACGCTTCCCGAACGGCACCCGGTTTGACTAAAGCACGAAGGCCCAGACAAATGTAGCTGAGAACAGACGTGCCCCCATGGCAGTTTAGACTTTAGACAAAACACAGCGAGTTGTAGTCCTCAGCGTATCTCGGTCACCTCGACCAAAGGTAGGCCATCTTGTGCAGGTCATGCTGCCTGCATCCACGACATAAGTCGTAGGTCGTCGTAGGTTTTCAACTTATGACGGTGTGCCCTACTCAAGATTGTCGGGCCCTGCCCCATTCAGGTCAATTGGCGGGATCGCTGCCTGCCACTTGGCCAGGAGATTCCCCGAGGTCGGGTGCCCAGAAGATCCCCGAAAAGCTGGAGCCGAAAAGCTGGAGCCAAATCAGGGCCGTTGCAGCTAAGGTGCAAATCCTCATCACAGATAGGACGCTCAATCTGCATCTGTATGAAGTGCCAGCACATTGTCTCTGCTCCGTATGCCTCCGCATGCTTCTGGACCAATACCGAGGACCATGTCAACTCTGGAAGGTGCTGCAAAATGCATGCCCTTTGTTGCGCGTTTGCTGCAGACGGCACTTCTCTGACCGAGCATTAACGGGAGCCTGTCATTAGCATTTTTTCAATTGCCAGGTACGGGGGCTGGGCCGCCAAGGGGCTTCGAGTCACGTGGAACTGCCCAGTTTTTGACGCTTTCGAGCTGCCAGCTTCGTACATGGGTTGGGTCATCCCTCCCTGACCGATTGTACTTGGAGGTATTACCTGTACAAGTTTTCAGCTGTGACAGGCTGCACTGGGGGGTGTTCGGTCATCGACCGTTGACCAACGTAAAGCAACGAGGAATGTTGTTAAGGGGTGGGGGGGGGGCGTCTCAAAAGGGGGGGAAGTACATGAGTTGTTGTGGTGGTGACGCTCTCGAGATACTGTGACTGTTGCGGGCGACGCAGGGGATGGGGGGGTGGGGGTGGGCGGAGCTGGTGCCTTTGGCTTCAAATCTTTTTAAAACCTGTTTTGCATGCACGGTGCCAAGCGTTGATCGTCAGTTGCTTAGATTCATCCTGGACAGAGCAAAGCGAAGGGAGCAAGACTAGATGGAACACGATTCAAGCCCCGGCAAGGAAAGAACTTTGGATGCTACTAGGGCGCATGCTTCATTGCAACTCTGGTAGCTGCATGCTTGCAGAGGATCGGTAGCACTGCAGCAGCTGCAGCAGCTGCCACTTGCACAGCTTGCTGAGAAATTTGCTGCGCTCCGATGGCACAGCTGGTGCAGCCGTCCTACGTGCGTGTGGCGGACTTGAGCCTGACGCAGGATGAGTTCGGTCGAATCTTGAGACGAATTGGCTTGACGAGAGATGCAGCGAAAGGAGCGCCAAGCAAGGACCTGCTCTTCTTGCTGCATGAGAGATTTTTCCATGCGATGCCGTTTGAGAACATCGGCGTCTTTGAGGGAGAAGTTGTCTCCTTGGATCTCAAATCCATGATAGACAAGATGTGTGGACCAGATGGAGATAGTCCCCGGGGCGGCTACTGCTTTGAGCTGAACAAGGTCTTTGCTGCTTTGCTTCTGCACCTTGGGTTTGAGGTTGAACCCAAAGGTTCGAGAGTTTTCCTGGATGATGGCGTGACTCCCAGATTGCCAACGTATCCACTCATGACCCATATGGTGCTAGTTGTGAGTGCAGGCACAAGGCTCTTTCTTTGTGATGTAGCCTTTGGAAAAGTTGGTTTGGTGAATCCGGTGCCGCTTGACGCTGCGAACACAGGCCCTTTCAATGGTGGGCACTTCAGGTTGAAACTCGAGAGACGGACATGTCGAAGTCGACACGCTTTCCAATACGATAACTACGTCTTGTGGTACACAGAAGAAACTGACTCCGAGACTTCAAAATGGACACGTGGCTACTCCTTCGTGCCGGTCCAGGACTTCGATTTTATGGATGCTTTGCCGTGTAACCTGCAGGTTCATGGCTACTTCGAGAGCCCCTTCACGCAGCGACTCTGGTGTGAGAAGCGCTCTCTCGAAGACCACGTTCGGATTTTGGGAAAGCACTTTCTGCAGAAAACCTCTGGAGAAACGGTTCAGAGGGATATCGACACCGCCGAACAGCTGCAGGCTCTACTGCTGCAGCATTTCAGACTGTCGATTTCCAAAGACATGTGTCAGCACATGCTTGGGGTCGGAACAGCTGCAGCTTTGGAAGACAAGTGGAGTCGACTAGTTGCTGCCCGAGCCGGTGGCTCTGCAAATAGTCAAACCAGAATTGTTCTTGGCATTGCCTTCTCTTTAGCTGCGCTTGCTCTGGTTGGCTGGATGAAGCGCTCGTAGGATTCACTTGAGACGCCTTTACGTCAAAGACGCTACAGGCTCGAAAATTATCTCGGCTTTTCGGTGCTCACAGTGCGATGCTTGGCAACTTGCCTTTTTGATGTGGATGCGCTAGCAATGTTATGCATCGGGACGCCGCAGCTGTGTGTTTGCGTTTACAGCACCACTCGAATCAAACGGCGAATCACACAGCATGATGGAAGCGGGATCTGTGGATGAAGCAGGGCCTTAGACAGTGGAGAGAAAGAAGAGGAGACATAATCAGCTCGCCGGGCAAGCCCCGGCCCGATCGAAGCACTCGGAGAGTATGGCCAAGACATAGACCAGCTGCCATGGCTGCCAACGAATTGCTGCCGTTGCACAAGAGGCCACATGTCAAGACATGGCCAACATGATGGCCAGCATGTTGCGACGTGTCGCGTCAGGCTTCCAGCCGGTTGCAGCGATGCCGAGCTACAGGAGACGCTGAGTTTTTCTCTGAAGCGCTGGCAAAGGAGCCGTCCCAGGGCATTGTTGGGTTGGGTCCTGTGGCGCCAGGCTCATCGTTCTGTTGAAGCGTGGCTGTGATGTCAGGCAGCCCCGCATAGCGACGAAAACCTTGCAAGATGTGGCATGGAAGGCAGGATGCTCTGGAGTGAGGGTGTGCAAGCAAAAACGGTCTTGATGGGTCAAGGGCAGCAATGTTTCCTCCGACTAGAAGTTTCAGGTGGATCCTGGGCTGAGCCTGCGCATTCTGAGCTGCATGCAGCTTGGACTGAGTCCAGATGCCCTGGCTTCCTGGCCTCACGGCCTCAGCGGATGTAGGTTGAGAGCACGAATTATCGATTATTGTTCGTTTGCCGCTTGCGAACTGATGAAAGAAAGGAAGCACGCCTTACATTCACTACGTTCTTTTCATCTGTTTTTCTTCATTCATTATATCCTCACAGCGGTTTCTATCTCATGGCAAAAGACCCGAGTGTTCATCGCGACAAACCCCATTGTTCTGAACTTCTGAACTGAATAAGCATAATGAAACGACGTGGACGCACGGTTCAGTCGTTCATGTATTTATTCATTCATTACTTCATTCATTCAGTCTTTCAGTCATTCGGCCATTCATGCATCCATCCATCCATTCATTCATTTATTCATTCATTCATTCATCCAGTCAGTCAGTCTTTCAATCACTGCATTTTAAGTTGTTATTTTCCCAAAACCCAGATTTGAAAGAATGACATCTTTTTCTTTTCATGTAGTTCATGTTGTATTTGCTTGCCCTTTTGGGCCGCTCGCTTCCGCTCATTCTATCCCAGGGCACAGAGCAGATTCCGGCTGGACGTCTTTCACTGCAATGCCGTGGCAACATCCTTGGCGAAGCGTCGCCTGAAAGCAATCAGTTTTCCCCGTATCCCTTACATTGACAATGAGCAGTTGAACGGCATGGCATGAGACTCGTGTCTGTGTAACAAAGGCTAGGTGAATCCTTTTGTCGGGCTGTGCCCCACTTCCACTTGGCAGTTTAACAGGCTGTACAGCTGGATAGCTCTGATGCAGGTGGCTGTTGGCACGAATGCTGCGATCTCTTAGACAGGATGTCGACCTTTCGAGTCTCGCCAGATGCCGTGTCTTGGTGCAGAGCTGCGCAGCGTGCAGAGCTGGCAGAGAGCCAGATAGTCGCGGCCGTGGCCCAGCTGAGGTAAGCGCCACAGCGTCGCTGGTCGCGATAGAGAAGCAGAGTGTGTGGCCGGCTGCTGTGGAACTGATGTCTTCCTTGAATCAGCACGAAGTGCAACCCGATACGACACTGGAGCTGACAGTATGGGGTCTTTTCTTTTCTCGTTTCTGTCATAGTTGTTGTCCGAACGCCACTCGCACCTCCCCGATGGACACTGTACGGTCCAAGGATTGTTGCAAATGCAGCGATGCGGGCGGTACAATCTGGCAGCGAATGGCAGCAAGTTTTAAGTCTCTTCAGGGGCAGTGTCGAAGCCAGCATGCTGCCGGACAAAATCGGCTACAATATTGTAGTCTGCTCTTTCGAGAAGCATCGCATGTGGGAGGAGGCACTGGCCATGTTACACGAAATGCCTGCGGCTCTAGTGATGCCTGACGTGGCCAACTGGAATGCTGCGATGAATGTCTGTTGCAAGGCGACTCAGTGGCAGCAGACAGTTGGATTGCTGCACAGCATCCCGCCCGAGCTACGTGCCAGTCGAACAAGTCACAATGTGGCAATCCATTCGTGTGAGCTTGGGAGCCAGTGGGACGTTGCTTTACAGCTCTTAGCGGCTATGAGCGATGCCGACGAGGCTAGCTTCAGTTCTACACTGGCGGCCTGCGCCACCACAGGAAGCTGGCAGGCAGCTCTGGACATCATGGGTTACATGGTCCGGAGTAGAAATGAGCCTCGCGACTTCGACCGTGCAGCTGCAATCCGAGCTTGCAGTGTGGGTCAGCGAGTTGACTTGTCCCTTGAGCTGCTAGAAGCCACGCTCCGCAGTCGAGCAGCACGCGGCAGACTCTGCTACGACGCCGCCATGCAGGAATGCAGTCGCTCGAAGCTTTGGCAGCAGTGCCTGCAGCTCTTACACGACATGCCTCACTATAGTTTGTCCCCAACCTCAGCCAGCTATGACACCGTCATCAATTCCTGTGAAAACAGCGGCAAGTGGCACCTTGCATTGTGCTTGTTGGGCGTGATGCCTGCCAGAGCTGTTATGCCTGACCTTTGGAACTTCTACAGTGCTGTGGGAGTTTGTGCTCATGCAGGGCAGTGGCAAGCCGTGCTCCGCCTTCTGCTGGTGCTGCCTCCGGATGCGCGACCTGATGCTGGCATTTTCAAGCATGCGATTCTCGGGTGCGATGATGCTTGCAAGTGGGAAGCTGCTCTGGCCCTGCTCGGCAACATGCCAGCGGCGAAGGTCGTTCCTGATGGAGGTGCTGCCTCTCTACAGTGGTCCGTGTAACCCTGTTTGTTCGACAGTCCTACCACGTGGAGTTGCAGAGCAGTTATGCTGGTATCTTAGAACATAACATACTGCCGCCGGTATTCCATGAGACGGTACACAACGTCTTTGACAGAGCGTAGACTCAGACGCAGTTGGTTGCCACCCGACAAGCTCGTTTGCGGCCACCTGCTGCCCTGCTTTCACAAATTCTGAGCAACTGAAATGCATGCTTGCTGTTTTCCCACCTGCTTTTGTTGTCTGTTCGTGGCTTCACCAATTAATTCGTCAGATAGCGCGGCCTTGAGGTATGGGCCCGGTCGGCTCTACATAGGGCATCGTTGGCTTCAGACAGAGCAGTGAACCTTGGTTGGACGGCCTCCATGTCTGATGCATTCCCAAAATTGGCGGGC